GATGAGGACGTGCAGGGGCGGCATCCCTTTCCCAGGCCACCCGGCTGATGCGGCTGCTTGGTCGCTGCCTCTTGGGATGGCGGCGTCCCCAAGACCGGGCTCCCCCCGGAGTCTCTCCTCCTGCTGAGCCGGCCGCTCAGGCCGCCATCCCTCTCGTGGGTGGCCAGAGAGGGGACTGAGAGTCACCGAGGGCTGTCAGTGGGGAAGGGAGCCCCCGCCTGCCCCACGGAGAGCTCAGAGCTTGGGGATGGAAGGACAGCGATCCCCCTGTCCCAGTGCGGCCTGGGGGCGGGGCGCCCACCTCTGTCTCCTTGTCTTGCCTCCTGGGACTGGTGTCCTGAAGTGCGGGCAGTCAAGACACGACCTTGAGAGTGGGGGCTGTTGGAGCCTGGGGGCAGCCAAAAGAGACCCGGAGAGACCCGCGCCTTCTGGGCCCTTCTTTCCTTTAGGACAAATTACCCCCAAACCTGGCTCCTGGGGATGGATGAGGCACGAGTACTTTGCGGTGTGCCAGGCAGGTGGAGAGTGGAGGCACAGCGGAAATCCCCTGTAGGGCCCCGGGCAGGACCCTGCCCCTCCGTGGGCCCCAGGTTCCCCATCTGTCAAGCGAGGGAGTTGGACCGTGTCCACTATCCTTCAGCTCTGATATCATGCTTGGGAAGGGAAAGGTCCCCCCAACCCAACACACACACACACGCTCCAGCAAGAGGAAGGCAAGACTGGCACCGCCGCCCTGGAGCCTGGCTTCTCCGCCGGGGTGTCCGCCCTGCCTGCCCACACGTCCCTTTCCCCAAACTCCAGCCGTGAGCGCCCTCTGGTGTCGCCGCTCACACCTTGTAGTCATTTACCAGAATTCCCGTAGGGCGTTTTGTAAAATAAACTATAATAATATTAATGAAAAGTATAAAATGTATAGAGTTTTCAAGAAACAGTGTTCTACTTCCAGAAAATGGTCACTTTAACTTTGTAAATATTTATCTAAAATGATATTTACAAAACTGTGATATATATTATTTGATTGTATATGTACAACTGTAAATACATTTGTACCTCTCTTGTATTCTAAAATAAAAATTACTTGGAGCATTTATCATTTAGCATCTGAACGGGTGGACACTTTTGTCTGCATGAAAGGGAAATACGGAAAGTGCCTAAACCTGGAAGGGGATTGGTTGGTAAGAGGTGTTCCACTTACTGGGGTTGAAATTCACCATCGTTCCCTCTGTAAGGGAAAATTCTCTCTGTCACAATTGGGGTATCAGATCCCAGGGAGATGCAAAGCAACCAGAAATCTCAGAAGGGGCCAAATTTCTCCTAGTTTCCAGCTGACTCGAAGGTCAGTGCCCTGCTTTGTTATTTCCCCAAATCTTTTTTTTTTTTTAATTTATTTTTTTCCATTTTCATGGCCAACTTGAAGGAATTCAAGCAGCTAGTCGGGGAGAGCCAAGGTGGCCACCAAGCACCCTCCCAATGCCTAGATTTTCCAAATACTCTGAGCATCCACTTCCAGACCCTCCTTGAAGAAGACCAAGAAGCAGGAAGGCCACAGAGGTAGGGACAAGAGGCTTTACAGCCTGTACAGGTCCAGGCCTGCTCTGCTCTCCAGGACCTCCTGGCCAGTAAGAGGCATGCACGCTGGGAGTGTGAGTTCGTACCTGTGCTCCAGCATAGGCCAGCTCTGACAGTGTCACCCTACCAACACACTGGGCAGGCATCTTCCTGGCACCCTACAGTTTCACATCTCTGTGTGTCCTCATCCAGCCATGCACATGCACACTCAGATGCACACACACACACACCTGCAGACACGTGGGAATTCACACGTGCACACAGCCCATCCCCATTTGGAACTTCAGGTGTGTATAGCCAGGGAGGGGACTGAGAGTCTCTGAGGGCTCTCAGTGGGGAAGGCAGCCACCGCCTGCTCCATACTTTGGGATATTCATCTTGCACGCTGGCAGATGGGGGCATGAGCAGAGAATGTATGTACACCTGATGAGTTCACTTGCAGGTCCCATCTGCAGCTTGCTCCCAAGGGACAGTGGGGAAAGTCAGCCTTGGTTCTCCTACCTCCCAGACCTTGCCTCTCCTTTGGTACCTCACCATTAGGCTTCCAGTGACTCGAGTGGCCTCTGCCCTACGCTCCTCCTACTGTAGCCCCCACCCAGGCCTCTTGTTTCCTTGACCAAAGCTTATCTGTCCTGAGTCTCCCCTCTGGATGCCAATGGGTTCTGTGGAATTAAACATCCTCCTGGCTCACATATTGAGCCTTCCAGCGAGTCATGCTGGCTTCCTGAAGAACGACCTGCAGGAGTCAGAGTTCACAGGGGTCAGTGGGACCCTTGACCAAAAATCCAATTTGTTCTCCATGGGCAATTCTGTTCTGTGAAGTCTCAGCTAACCCATCACAGGGGACACAACCCGGGTTCCAGAACCCACCTGGTGGCAGTCAGTTGTAATTGCAGACTGAGGTGCCTCTGGTTTGCCTGCTGATGGGTTTTCTCACACGTGTGCCAGGGCCTGCGCTAGCCATGGGGGTACAAGGATGAGCACTCGTGAATCGTGGTCTGGACGAATTTGCATGCAGGAGGGAGGCCTGACACTGAAAAGCCTAACCTCTTACTTTGCTTGTATTTCCAACAGAGGCCTCTGGCTTCTTTCCAGAGAGTGCAGCCCCCCAGACATAGCCCTGCAAACACAGTCACAGCAATTTCTGTGAGCCAGCCCTGGGCTTAGGGATCGAAACACATGCATTTCGGGGATTCTCCCACAAACCCTGAGCTGATGCTCTTTATCACCCCTCTCCCCCACCTTTTTCCTGATACTCTTTTAATTAATGTCCATTTGAAGTATGAGATAATTAAGACCCAGAAAGAGTAAATCATTTCCCAGTGAGTGGCAGAGTGGGGTTCCACCTCAGGTGTCTGACCCCAGAAGCCATGCTCATGACCATCAGGCAACACTAGCTCCTGGTCAGCCTGCAGATTCAGCCCAAAGGGCTTTCTGTATATCCCACAGGGACTCAGTGCAGCCCAGCACTGTATATTGACCTTGCATCCTTCAACCTAGCAAAACTCACTTATTTGTTCTAGTATCCCTTCGTATATTCCTTAGGACTTTCTATGCACATGATCATGTTGTCTGCGTACAAAGACTTTTACTTCTTCCTTTCTAACTGGGATACCTTTTGTTTCTTTTTCTTGCCTTGTTACATGGTCTAGGACCTCCACTAATAGAGGGTTCTAGATAGAGGCCAATGGTTTGTGTTTGAAACTCCACTCTGCCATTCAGTAGCTGTGTGACTTCAGGAAAGTCAATCAACATCTCTTTGCCTCAGGTTCCTCACATGGGAAGTGGGGTGATACTTAGCTCCTAAGGATGTCATGAGGATTAAATGGGACAATGTATTTAAATGAATAAAGTACCTGGCTTGGTGCCTGGCACATAGTACGTGCTGAATAAATGGGAGTTGTAGTCAATACAAGGATGAGAAGGGTTGAGAAGGTGGTGGCAAAAAGGGCTGAGGCTGCTCCTACCACTCAACCCAGTAGGCGACCTCCCAAAGGCATCTGAGACAGCTGTTTACCCCTCTCTCTCTCTCTCTCCCAACTCTTTTCTTTTCTTTCTTTCTTTTCCTTTTCCTTTTTTTTTTTCCTTTTTGTCTTTTTTTGTGACCAGCAACGGATCGCAACCCTCAGTGTCACGCCTGTACCGGACCGGGACCGGCAACGGGATCGCAACCCTCGGTGTTGCTCCCGCACCTCGCTCAGCCAGTGAGCGGGAACCGGTCTGTATGTGGGATCC